TATTTAATTTAAAATTTTGTTTAGGATGGTGGCACTGCTGGTTGGATAGCTCAATTAGAAGGTGGTCATTATCCATTAAAATTTCATAAACCAACAACACAAATAACTCGTCACGTATGCTTATTCTATTTAATTTTCATTTTTATAAATTTATTTTTATAGAATACTGGTACACAAGATACTCATAGTCCTGAAGAAATTCGTACAATACGAAATGGTCTTGCTCAACAAGCAGAACAACGAGCTCGATTACAACAAATTGCTCGACAGGAAGATAATATTGCTGACTTACAAGTATAACATTCTTTTATATAATAATTATTCCGAAAAAAAAACTAAAACTTTATTTAGCATACTGAAACTCAAAGTGGTTGGTGGGGAAAAGATGGTGCTCGTGCAACAAAAACTCAACCTCGTCGATTTAATGCTCTCCATGCTCTTCATAATTCACAATCGGTGCGGATATACTCATATTTTTTTGTTCTTCTTAGTTTTTCTATTGATTTATATTTTAGTCAACAAATAGTTTCAATCAAACAAACCCAAATGATAATAAACCATCACTTCCAGTGAGATATTATGATACTCATTTTCAATATCCAAAAGCAAATTTCGTTTCCAAACATACTAATTTTTATCAATTATCTGATAGTAACAATACTTGAGATACTGCATTGATTTTTTTTTGATAACAAATAATTCTTTACAACATTAATTATAATAAAATATATATTTAAGCAAAAACAATTTCGATATTCTATCGAATGATATTAATTAATGAGTAAATTTATTTTTGTCATTTTACTAATTATGCAAAGATTTTCTTTAAACTTACCTTAGAATGATATGTAGATGAAAGTAGGTTCCTTCGGGTCATATTTTTTTATAAATAATAAATAGAAGACGGCGCTCTTTTCATCTTACATGCTAGTACTATTATTAGAAAACGATACTTAGTACTTTTATAATCGCGACCTATTATAGATAAAAGCTTCTATTGAAAAAGAAAAAATGATTGTTCTCTTTTTTTTTTATAAACTTTTCTTCTTGCAATTATGTAGGAATCTTTCGTACGTAGTTTTATTTTGATAGATAAAGACATTTTAAATTAGTCTGCTTTGTTATTAATAATGCATGATATTTATAGAAGCATAAATGGACGATTAAAACCTTTCATTCATGTCTTTAATTATCAATGTAAAATTTTTATTATTAGCAATCTATACTAAAGCCGACGACGCATTAAAAGATTACCCTTGAATAAGTGACGCAAAAAAACATATTAGAAGATCCCCTTCTAATGGTTATTTTTTCAGTTTTTTATTCCGTTCGTACTCGTTGTTTTTCTGTTCATTTCGATATTCAAAATTGATTCTCAATTCGTCTTATCTTGATTTTTCTCCAACTATCAATCAATTCGATCTATAATTGAAAAGTAATATGAATACCTGCTATTTCATGTAATTACAGGTTCAACAATGGAACTCCCACATACTTAACTTAGTTTGAGGGACATGTGGAAAAATGAAACTTTTCCACATTTAATAATTAAACTGCTTGTTTTAAAAAAAATTCTTTTATTATAGTATCGATTGTAATACTATCAAAAAGTTCAATAATCCTGTAAAAACAATGAAGAAAAACGTTAAAAGACTTATAAAAATCACATAGTTGAGAGTAACAATAGTCCTCACTATAAAGAAAGAAACTTAATGATTGAGATTTTTTCTTCTAACTAAAAATATTGCACAGAATAATGTAAATTATTTATATTCTGTAAAATTCTATTGTTATTTTATGAAAGCTTGTACATTGCAAATAACTTACAAGAGATATGTAGATAAACAACTGATTTATGAAAATATTTACTTGTATAGACAAATTGATAACAGTATTAGAAAACATATGTTACAAACATGTGAGAAATTATTTATTTACGTAAAATATACAATAGACAATCAACTTGAGTTTATTATTATCGTCATAGAATCATAGAAAATTCATTTATTTTATAATATCGAATTGAAAAAATTAACGTATTTTTTATTACATTGATATTGCGCTTCGAATAATAATATTAAATTTCCTTTCTATTTCAATTTCTCATTCATAACAAAAAGAAAAAAGTATTGATTCAGATCGAATATATGATTTACTTCAAGTACTGTATAAAAATTCTTTTTCTTTTATTTAATTTTCGAAAGTTTTTGTAAATATTCCTCTTCATGAGGAGCTGCTGTAATACGTTTGAATAATCGATTATTTTGAAAATAATTTGCTAATGCTGGTCGTTCTTTCATAATTTGTTCAAGTTTTTCTAATGCTTCACAATTAGCTGGTGATAATTTCCGATGCATATTACGAGCCATTAAATATGCTTCAAATGCAAAATAATCAGCAATTGTTGGTTCTATTTGATCATAATAAAATGATGTTGAACTTTGTTTAAGTATTTTATTTAATGACTCAAGATTATCTCGTGCCATTGCAATTTGAAAATATCCTGGACTATGCATATCTTCAATATCAGGTGTAGCCCAAATTGCTTGTAATATATTTGTTATAACATCAGTATATGCACAAGTAACAATACCATTAATATAACCTTCTAATAAAATTGGATCATTGTATGTTGCTGTAATTTTTCCATAGAGATTAAATTTCCTTGCTAAGACATGTGCTAAAATATAAAATTGTTAAAAAGAAAAGGAAATTCTGTATTATATTATATAAACCTATTGTTAAAGTTTGTCCAAATGTATGTGTATCATTCCAATGAAGAACTGGTAAACTTCGAAATGGGCCAGATATTGTATTATCTGTTCTACGTTCTCCCCATGTGTTTGATATTGTTTCACATACTTCATAATCTTCTTTATAATCAACATTTTTATGTGTATATGCAATATCTTCAAGCATATACCGAAATGCTTGAGCACGACCACGACAATCCCAATAATGAAGTCGAAGTTTGATTTTATCGGAATCTGCTGATGTTGACATGATTTATTTTAAAATCGTTTGATAGAATATATATTTCTTTTTCTTCGTATACTATTGACATTGCTGTGAATCATAATTTTTATGTAAAGTCACCAATCGTATTTCTTTTAATTAAAACCATTATACGTTTTACTTATATTCTTTACTTTTGATACTATCGCCCTCTGTGTTGTTTAAAAAAGGCTAGGAGATATTGAAGCATGTCAACTACAGACATATTTTTTTTTGATTATATATAAATGTCTATTTTTACATATTATGCTTATAGCAAATATCTAACTTTAGACTTTAATCAGTAAAATGTTGTTTATTTATATCGAAGATTGTCATACTGCTTTTTCTACCTTGTAATCTCAGTTAAGTTATTATATATGTAGAAATTTTTCAGGGCATATAACCCCTATTGAACTCAAAATTGTGACAGGCACGTTCAGATTTATGATTCTTTTCACTTATTTGTGTCAATACTCAGCACATACTCGATATATTTCATCAAATCATCAGGGCGTTTTTTTTATCGCTAATCTCCTAGATAAAATTTCTTGATAAATAATAAATTTTATTTTAAAATGAGTTAAATGATCTAAAATGTAACTATAATTTTAAAAACGTTAAAAGAAAATAAAGTTATTTTAATGTTTCATTCAATTTTGCCAGATATTCCTTTTCTTTTGGTGCTCCAGTCAATCGTTTAAATAATAAATTTTTGCTAAAATAATTAGCTATTCCTGGTCGTTCTTTCATTGCCTGTTCTAATTTTACTAATTCTTGACGATCATTTTCATCCGGTAATATTTTTTGACAATAATCACGTGCCAATGTAAACGCTTCAAAAACAAAATAATCAGCTATTGTTGGTTCTGCTTGATCATAATAAAATGATGTTGAACTATGTTTAAGCAAATTATTCAATGCTTTCAAATTATTTGGAATTGTTTTTGCTACGCGATTCATAGGAACATTTGCATCGACTAAATCTATAGAACTCCATATAGCACTTAATACATTTGATATAATATCTGTGTATGCACATGATACAATACCATCAATATAACCTTGTAAGACATCTTTATCATCAATTGATGATGTTAATTTACCATATAAATCAAATTTTCGTGCTAAGAATTGTCCTATAAAAATAGAAATAATAGTTAAATATTTATTTTATCATTTAATTAACAAACCAATTGTTAAAGTTTGACCAAAAGTATGTGTGTCATTCCAATGAAGAACCGGTAAATTATGAAATGGTCCGGAAATATTCTCATCGGATTTATGTTTCATCCATGACTGAACCATATTTACAAGCTCTTCAAAATCTTCTTTATAATCAACATTTTTATTTGTATATGCTATATCTTCAAGCATATACCGAACAGCTTGAACACGACCACGACAGTCAAAATAAAGAAGTCGAAGTTTAATATCGCTTGAGGTTGTTGTTGACATGTTACTTACTAAAATGAAATGTAGACCATATATGTCATGCTAAATTTTGTAAAAAAAAGAAAGAAGAAAAGGGGCAAGAAATGTAGAACTAAGCCTTCTTTTTTTTCTTCTCCAGTTATACGAGGACATGTCATATGCATGCACATGAATCACTAAAGGCCTAAGATAACCAATTTTTTTCAATGCTAAAAAGAAACCTTGATACAAAAAGAACGAAAGAAATATAAATTTTTGAATTATAATAATAGATGTCACTATACTAATATATTGAGTTATTGATTTTTATAATCCTACACGTTTTCGCATTTTATAGTGAGGGTTTATTAACGATCTCTTTAACAATTAAGAGACACATTTATTCCTTATTTTTCATTATAATCTATCAGAAAAATAATACATCTGATGGTACTCGCTATGAACTGCTGCAAACAATGAAGAGAAAAAAATATTCATATCATATATACGAAACGAGGGTCCACACTCACACTTTTATATTTTTCGGAGTACTTTATATCATTTAAGGAACCTGTTAGGTCTCATCATGGTGGTTAACCTAACCAAAAATAATGATCTCGTCGAACATTCGTAATAATGCAATTGGTGCGATTGAATCGTGTATTTTGTTGTTCTAACCATTCTATAGTAATTGGCGGACAGTTGTCTCGTTGGCTATGCACATGTAGACTGATCAAGTGATACATCTTACGTAAGATAAAATCAATAATATTTTTGTGTGAATGAACACCTAACGATAAATGTTGACATTGAGAAGAAAAAATTGGCAAGATTCTTTCAAGTTCATTTTTATCAAAACTTTGTGATGGATTTCGATCGGAAGTAAAAGTTAATGAACGAATCTTCCGTGAAAGACGATGACAGATACATATATCAGTCCAGTTATCTGTCAACAGTTTTAGCGCACTCTTTTTGCCAGTTAATGAATATAGATGTGGTGCATTATCCAATAAAATAGTAAAATCTTCCAAGGATAATACTGTACCATCACCAATAGTGATGTGTCGTAATTTAGTCAAGATATGAAGCCAAGGTTGTGCATCAAACGAAGTATTGATTACTAAGTTGATGATAGAACTTCGATCAAACGTAGGATCTGGTGATGAAGAGGATTTAAATACCAATGTTTTCATATTTGTATGTATGTTGATACTCGGATGATCAATATAGTTTCTCGACCATTCTGAAATCTTCGTTTTTGAAAAAGTTTTGAAAACTGTAAATACTTCAGAAGAGACTGGTATTGTATAGAGAATAACGTGTCTCATATTTGTATTATACGTGCCATATTTATAATCATGAATAGGCATTTCATAATAAGCAGATACATCACAATGAATAAACCAATTGTTTTCAAGTACATAGAATGGTGTAGAGAAAGATGTTACGATTTGTTTAAGTTCATTCAAGTTACGATCATGACATATGAATTGAAAATAGAATTTGAAATTTTTTAAGGGTGGAATTGATGTAGTAATTATTTGTTCCCATATTTCACCACCAGGAAAAGGTCCGTCTGGTGTCTTCTGATAAATTTCAAGATCAATTAATAGAGATAGATTGATTAGTGAGTTTTGAATGAGTGAACAATCTCGATGATCTTGATAGATGATCTTTAGATATTTTAATGTTTCTGGCCATGCTAATAGTTTATCTTTTGTACAACGATCTGTAATTGTATATTCAATTGTATCAAGTTGAGCGAAATTCTACAGAAATAAAAAAATGAATTATCTGTTGTGGTTCGGTGAATTTCAACTGATTGCTTACTTTGAGCCAATTTGTATTGGGACATGAGCCAAAAATGAGTTTTTTTAGATTTGGAAGTTCGAATTCTGGAATATTTTCTCCGCATATGGATTCAATTTCAAGGGATACCAGGTTCGAAAGAGATGGAAGCTGAGAGAATAGTGGATATGGACTATTAGTTTTCATTTTAACGATTGATAAGGATTGTAGTTGAGAGAATTTATCAGTTAGAGAATGATTTTCAAAGAAATATTTCACTTGTCCTCGTGTATGCTCATCATCGGACAGCTTTAATGAATGCCATCGATTGGTATTCTGATATTGAAAAATCGTATCAAAGTTCTTCTTACTGATTGATGAAAAATCGAATGTATGACACAATTCGGTGAGTAAATCTTGAAAACGAGAATTGAGATTTGAGAATGCGATGACTGCATCAGTGGAAGTTATATAAGATGAAATTTCCATAAAAATCTCATTCGGAATGCTTTCAAATAATGTAAATCCATTCTGATTATGTCGCTTCATAGCCATGATGATATATACTGTATCAAATAGCAATGAATATTCTATTTTATTATTGGTATTTTTCTTGCACAACTTCAACGAAATAAAAATGATGAAAGAACGAATAACAGTTTACAAAGCATGTAATACGTGACTCATGACAGAATAGAACAAAATCGACACAAAAATACTGAAAAAATAATGCTGACAATTTCTAGATGTCACCATCAAAGGAATGAGGGTGTGGGTGAGAAAATTAAAGAAGACTGACATTTACATCATCAATCATCGATAAACATACCCAAAAGAAAATAAAGAAATAAATGTTCATTTATTCGTTCAGAGTAAGACAGAAAGCATTGACATGATATACATAAAGATTAGTTCAAGAGCCGTCTGAGAACACACGACAGTATGTTCCTTCGTTTGATATTTAATTTGTTAGTGTAATAGTGCTGACAATGCGTAATTCCGCTGGTTCATCTTTTATTTCTTGTACTTTGTCTTCTTCGCGTTCTATCACGAGATTTTGACTAAAGAATTTCCAAATCATACGTTTTAGTTCTTGACGAAAAGTTTTGGAGACAATGGTATAGATGTAAAAATCGGTACACCAAGGAATCGAATGAATAAAAAGCCCAAGATTAAACAGGAAATTGTCACGTGCCTGCTGCCAAGCTGTTGATATTTGAGAGTTTGTTACCGCTTTATAGATTGTATAGATGACGATGAGACTGCTGCCAATGATATGAACAATGTTTTTCGCGAATAAGCAACGAAGTAATTGAAAATCTTTCTTATGCATTGTTCGAATACCCTGTCGTTGTTGCCGTGGAGTCGATCTTATTCTACGAACATTTTTAAATGAGAAAATAGACAGAACGATCATTAACAAATATAAGACAAGATTAAGAATCAATTGAGAATAGTGAACAAAATCAGGATAAAATCCAGTAAATCCAAAAAAACAAATGGAGATAAATGGACCAAATTGATAAGTATCGAATTTAATGAGAGCATGAAGAAAGTAAATAGACAAAATAATAATACTTAAACTAAGAGAAAAATAAGCTAAACGTTTTGAACTATACAAACGTGTTTCCACATTTGTCGACGAAATTAAAAGACGATCAACTGAAGCAAACACAAGAATACTTGTTGAAAATTCATCAAAGACAAATGATACATAATTAAATAGTTTACATAAGATCCTACTACGATTTAATACTTGCGAGTTAAAACCATAGACAAAGATATTACTAAGCAAAATATTGTTGATATTGCTGAAATTAGCCAGAAGTGAAATGAGAAAATAAAAAACACAAACGTTTTTACGCCATGCTTTTCGATGCAATATCCAAGCACTTAGTAAAATTCCAAGACTTCCGAATATGTACAATGGAATACCGATAGATCGATATATATAACTAAGAACGCTGTCAAATACATTCACGTTCGGAACACTAGATGAATTCATTGTACTGAAGTTAAATATAGTCAGCTGTGTTTCTAAGAGGAAAAGCTGAATGAATGACTACACTGCCTTTCTTAGAAGAGTAGAGGATAGACTAAAAGAAAATGTGATCTTTACTTAATTAAAATTTAATTTGTTTTTTAATCCTTTTGGCAATTTAATTACTATTATTTATTATTTATAGACAACAAATTACATACGTGACACAGTAAAAAGAAAATTCCTTCTTCTCGATTGCATAAGTAGGATTATTATGAAAACAAATTAGGCTTTTCTGAAATAGGATTAATTGCTTAGATTAATGATATTATATTGTTAAAATCTATTTAATCTTCTCCTCATTAAAATATCATGTGATGATTTATAGGATTTATATTTTATTAAAGTATTATTCTGTGAAAATGAAATTTTTGAATTTTAATGCATAGATTGTAACTGAACATGAAGACTAACCATCATATATTACACTATATGATGTTACAATTTGTCTTTTTGTTGAGTCGTATTGAACACGTATGCTTTAGGAGTAGAGGTGAAGGGACAAAGAAAAATCTACAACTTCATCTTTCCATTGCTATAACATTTTTATTTACATTCTCTTCTTCTACCAACACACTTGTCACCGACTGTATCGATAAGAACGAAAAAAAGATGGAAATAAAAATAAAAATACGTTGCTGTTTTGCTTTCTGTTTGTTCGTTGCCAGTGAATTCATTTTGTTGATCACTAATGGTCGTCATATTTGCAAACTTTCAGACGAAGTCAAACAAAACCATGTGCATAATAAATCAATGCTTCTATCAAGTTTCATCTTTTTTCCACAGAATGATTTTATGTTTTTTAAGCAACATACATACACTTTTACTTTTCGACAACAAAAGTATTTATATCTTTAAAAGATCTTGGAAGATGTGTCAAGCTATGTGATTCATGGGCAATAAAGATAAAGAAATGGATGTATGTTGTATTTTTATCATGGGAATCTTCGCTGAATACACATCGAACATTTGTAGTCGAAGGATAATGAGATCATTCTTGGTGTAGGTTAACGTTGTCAAAAATGATAAGAAATATAGTCTACAACTAATTAAAACTTACAACCGGAAAGAAAATTCTTTATAGTAATTTGTCTTGGCAGTAGATTTGTTTAAGTTATTGTAAACCGCTCATTTTTAATTCTGTTTCAAAATGTCTAAAATGTCACTTTTTTGCTTTATATTGAATGCCATTCATTATTGCATCGTCGTAAAGAAAACAAAACTGGAATTTTTTTGATCGCCTAGTTTTACAAGAAAAGATTTCATTGGGCAATAATTTTTAATTCATTTAGAAAGTAGTGATGTATTCATACATTTGTATGCAGATCATGAGTTATAATAATGATTATCATTTATACTTATTTGAAATTTATAATTAATGGAAGATAGAAAATAATGCATGATCAAGCCTTTTTTT